TTTTTATGAATTCTTAATGCCATCCCACAAGGGGTCTAGTCAGATCCCATTGTTCTTGAGAAATTCCAGAAGTATATATGCTCAAGGTCATAATTTGACTCTAATGGATGTTTGCATTGTTTATATTTTATTCAGCTTCAACTTGAACTTACATATGAGCAATTAATAAGCTGTTCTGTAGTCAGCCTCTGGCTTTGTTTTGGCTGATGATAACTGAGCTTCTCTAGCTAATCTTCCCACACATGTAGTCAGTCTGATTCCTGTGGATCCCATCTAGTGAAGTTCACATCGTGGCAGTTACATCATGTCCTGTCAACTTGGGAAGGGGTGGAATCTAGCCTGTCAATAGCCAATGAGGCCTCTGTGTGGGCATGGCCTTCTCCTGAGCATTCTGGGAACTCCTGTCTTCCTCCCTGGAGGTGGGACACACTCTCTCTGCTTCATCTCCCTGTGAGACTTTCCCTGCTGACAAGCCACGTGGAGCTATGCTGATTGACGGCAGCCAGACCCCTGGAGCTGGAGGAGCCACCTGGAGACCCACGCCAGTGCTAAGATCCTTCCACCGCCACTGGATCCACAAGACTTTCCACTCACTGACCTGTGATTTTCCTGCACTCAGCATCATTGTATGTGTTGTGTGAGTCTGAAGAGGAATTTTTTTTCCTGAAGAGGAATTTACAGGCTGGTATCGGACATATCGGCTAATATCAGACTTACGGAGTTGCTCTGAACAGGGCTGGGATGTTTTCTTAACATCCAATTACTCTTTTATATAAAGGTCTTTTTTATACACAGGTGAGTGAATTTTTTCTCTAGTCCACCTGTACTAACACATGTACAGTCACCCTCTATGGAGTTAAAAGGAGGCATTTGCAGTGAATAAGTCATCGGTCTCCCAGAATCCCACCTCGTAATAATCTCAAGCTTCCTTTCTATTGCCAAGGCCACATTTCCCAACTGCTGATCCTTCTCCTTTAAGTTTACATTCCAATCACCAATAATTATCAATGCACCTGGATTGCATGTCTCATCAGTTTTAGACTGCTGAAGTTGTAAAAATCTCAGTTTCCTCATCTTTGGCATTAATGGTTGGTGCATATACTGGATCAGTCACACTGACTGTTCTTTGTGTTATTGCTGACAATGTTGTCTTTCAAGGTAGATTTTGAAATGCTTTTCTCTTTTAAATGTCCTTGTCTCTACACTGGTTTTTTACTTAAAGCTATTTTATCAGAAATTAATATTGTGAACAATTTTGAATGTCCCGAGGGGTCAGATTGCCTTCAGTATCCCTTCTGATAGACATGGTCCCTGGACAAAGCCATGGCCATCATAAGATGGACCTTCTGGATTACAGACAGTGGAAGGTAAAAGGGACACCATTAGGAACCGTCCAGGAGCAGCTAGGGGCACAGAGGCTCAGGACTTCCTGGGCCAAAATGCAGCCTGGAGAAACGGGGGTAGATGTGCCAACACTGTTCCCTTCCTTGGTCCAACGTGAACAGGACAGGTGGCTCGGAGCTGGGCATTTACTGAGCCCAGAGCCAAGATCAGGGGCGTCGCTGAAGCTGTTCCTGGAGGTATCTTAGTGGCTTCCTAGGTCACCTATAGACACCAGATTTCTCTGCCAGAGCCTGCTTTTCTGTGAATTTGTCCATTCAATAATACAAGTAAGATGTAATGAAATTGGAAAGTGAGAAAAAAATAATAGGGCCACTTTTTTTATGGCTGTTTCTGTGCCTGAGGTCTGGCTCTTGTGGACAGGATATTGAGGGGCTGTTTTCTTATCATTTGTGCTACTCCTTGCCTCTTGACTGGTGCAATTAATCCACTTACATCCCATAATTATCAGTCGGGACGCATTGGTTGCTATAATTTGTGTGTGTGTGTGTGTGTGTGTGTGTGTGCGCGCGCGTGCGGGTGTGTTTTGTGGAACTGCTGACTTTGGGGTTGAACATAATTTTCTGAGTTCATCTTGCTGGTGGCTCTTCTTTGCTCTTGATTTAGCGTTTACTAAACCAACATGACTGCCCTCTTATTATGGTGATAACTCACTAACTCACGGTGTCAAGTTAATTCTAATTCATAGCGGCCCTGTAAGCCAGGGGAGAGCTGGCCCTGTGGGTTTCGAAAACAGTAACTCTTCACGGGAGTAGAAAGCCGAGGCTTCCTCCGGCAGGGCGGCTCGTTAGTTATTCTGATGAGGTCTCTTAATTTTCTCGAAGGTTTCCCTCTAAGGTGTTCGTCTCCTTCCCATCTATCTTGAAATCGCCTCAGCTTCCTCTCAGAATGGAAGTTCTGTGACGTCACGACTTGTTCCTTCACTTCACTTTGTGATTGTCTTCGTTTACAGACAGATCTCCGCCTCCCCACCCCCTGCCCCCCAGTTTTCCGTTAGGGCGGCGTCTGTAGCTCAGTTGACTTCTGGGTGGTGAAGTCATCTTTGCCCATCCCAGGTTCCTATCCACTGCTGGCGGTCCTGCCCAAAGAAAGCCCTTTCGTGTCTTTGCTCAGGTTGGTCTATAGTTTTTGACAAATTCCTTTCAGTTCTGTTGATCTAGAAATACCCTGATTTCCCCGACAATTTTGCCAGGCTTATGATTGGCAGCCCCTGCCCCACCTATAGGCCATCCCATCGGCTCCTTGCCGCTTGGTTCCTGCGGAGCCAGCTGCTTGATGTGCCTGGGCCCCTTTTGTGCAGCATTGCCCGTTTGTCCCCTACAACAGTGTGAAGTTGCTATAGGAAGATTCCTGTCCCCACCGGGCGGCTGGGCGTGGCCCCGTGTGGCCCTGCGCGCACTGCGGGTCTGGCAAGGCCCTCACCCAGGAGGTGCACCTGGGGCCCGCTGGACAGGGCTGAAGCTCTAACCGCAAGGGGAGGGGGTCACCAGTCACTGGGTGGGTGAGGGTTCTCAGGAGGGGGCGGGGCACAAAGGACCGGTCAGCAGCCACCAGCATGGGCACTTGTTGTACCAGCACGCGCTCCCGGTGAAAAGGTTGCGGCAGTTCCTTGTGAGGGTGCAGGCGCAGGCTGGTGGACAGTTTGCCGTCCTGTCTGTCTGTCCTCTCACAGCTTTTGTTCAGCTTCGCCTAGTCAGCGTGCCACCCACTGCGCTGCCCTGCCCTCTGAGGCGGAGAGTCCCAGGATCATCATGTGGTCTCTCGGGGGCTGGCTGCAGGGGGTCTGGGGAGCATGTGTGTCTAGTGCACCACCTCTGACCTCCTCCAGCTACACAGGGAGAAGGGAAGTCCTACTTCTCATCCGCCCAGGGCCCAGTGCCCCAGAAAGAGGCCAGCGATGCCCCTCCCCTCCTCCCTCTTTACCTGGTCTGATACCAACTGATCCGCCCAGGACACTACTGGATTCAATGTTCCAGTGGCCATGCGGAACTCACAGACAGCACTCACAATTAAGGGGCACTAGGGGAGCCAACAGTTTACCACAAGTCAGGATCAGTAAACAATAAGAATACAGTCCGTCGTCCACAACAACATCTCTCCACCATCAGCCAGGTCTCTCTCTCTCTGGTCCTCAGTCTCTGAGCTTCTGGTTCCGAGGGCCGGGGAGCCTGCACAACACCCTGCTGCTCAGTCCCTGTCTCCTGGTGTCCTTGCCTCTGTTCTCAGCCTGGCTCTTCGCTCTGTCCTCGGTCTCCATGCCTGTGTTAGGCAGGGCCCTCTAGAGAAACAAAGCCAGGATACTTACGATTTCAAATATATATGAGGATATGTTTATACAGTGAGAAGGAATATAATAGCTAATTAGTCTACACAGCAGTACAGAGGGCTCAGCTCAACTCACTTTCATGGAACAGTTAATATACTGGAAGTCCTTGAACTCACATGGGCTGCTAGACCCAAGGTCAAGGAAGCAGACAACAGGTGCTTCCTTCTGGCAAGGCAAGCAGAGTCTTCCAGCAGGCAGCAAACAGCAGAGTCCATCAGCAACCGCCGGTAACTCAGGAACTTATTGAATCAGGCCCGGATGAAATATTGAACTCAAGCAATGCAAGACGACAGGATCCACCAGCCTCAAGCTGAAGTGATGTCCCCACCAGCTTGAAGGAGCCTCAAGCTCTAGGGACAGGATCCACGGGTTGGCTTGGCCCACAGGTGGTGTAGCTCACAGGTGAGGCAGAGCACTAGCTAAAGCAGCACCACACTGGTCCGATCACCAGAGAGCAAGAGAGACAGGGGTGGGTGAGCCATTTATCTCTTTGCCCTCTGTATTAGTCTGGGTACTTTAGAGAAACAAATCCACAGAAACTCATGTATAAGAGAGAGATTTATGTAAAGATTAAGTGCGCATCAAGAAAACATCCCAACCCAGTGCTGCTCAAGCCCACAAGTCCAACATTAAACCAACATGTCCGACACCAATCCA